GACTTTCAGCACCACCAGGTATGTCATCAGAAATGACAACGACTACTATTCAGGACTCTCAGCGCCAGATGGTATGTCATGAGAAATGACAACGACCACTATTTAGGACTCTCAGCGCCACATGGTATGGCATGAGAAATGACAACGACCAATATTCAGGACCACCCCAGCAGCATGCTCTGTCATCAGAAATGACAATGACCACTATTTGGTAGTTTGAATAATATATGGTCTGTCATCAGAAATGACAATGACCACTATTTTGGACTTTTAGCACCACATGGTACGTCATGAGAAATGACAACGACCACTCTGCAGGAGTCAGGTATCACATTTCTAAACTGTCGGTGATGCTTAAGATGGGAGTGGATACTAGGACGGACATAGCTATAACTATCGCGTAGTTCAAATAGTATTCGTATGTAGATTTGTTTTGCGCATCATGTGTCTGACGCACAGACGCTGTATCAATCTGACTTTTGTAGATGGACATGGCGGATATTTGGCGTCACCATTGTCTGGATCACCCGACGGTAGAGTAGTTTTCTATGTTTAGCCTACAGGCCACCTGGAGAAGCGAGAGGTGCGTCATCACTGTGTGGAGAAGTACGAGAGATGCGGCGTCTCTGCGGCATATACAGATTGCGCCTGATGGATTCCTTATAGCTATGATATTTTTATTTGCTGGGAGTATTGCTGGTGTGTATCCCGCATCTCCCGTGGCATCTCTGACATGCCCGATTTGTTGGATATGTGACACTGCTGTTGGAAGAAGACGAAGTTGTTCACACAACGACACTCAAATGCCTACAACCACGATAAGTAAACGAAAGTTGGAAAAAAATAATCATGAAACTCGTGACAGTTGAATTCTATTCTTTCGTTTCTTGCTGATAAGCATATCTGCAATAGAAATAAGGGAAGCATCTGTTGTTGAGTATCAACAGAGAAAAGATAAAATACCCACATTTAACGTTTTAAAAGATATCCATAAAAAAAGTAAAGTATAGGCTATATAAATCTTAACGAGTCTGGTGTCGCAACAACACATTACTATTCATTATTTGTATTAAGCAACGGCACTTACTCGACATGGGTGGACAAAAATCCAAACCAACTTTTCCAAAGGCAACGGTTAGTGATGCTTCAAGCAGAGCTACACTATCGGGTGCTATACCACCAAGACGTCGTATGACTCAGAACTACTTGGTGATTTGGGTCGATGGCAACATCGACGAAAACAATAGCGATTGTCGAAACACGCTGGCACAATTACGCGCAGTGGTAAGTGATGTAAATGTGTGCACGACACCAGAACAGTGTGTCCAATTTCTCAATGAAATTGATGATGGCAAAGCCTTCATAATTTCATCGGGAGCATTAGGACAAAGCCTTGTAAATGGCATTCACAACTTACCAAAAGTGGATGCCATTTACATTTTTTGCGGCAACAAAACGGGACATGAATCATGGGCGAAGAAATGGCCAAAGATTCGAGGTGTTTTCACCTCGATCAGACCGATATGTGAATCGCTGAAAAAGGTCGCGCATGAGTGCGATCATGATTCAATTCCCATGAGCTTCGTTCCAAAGCAAACGATGGCAGGAGAAGCAACAGACCCGGATCAACGAAATCTTGATCAATTACCGCCGACTTATATGTACTCGGTAATTTTCAAGGATATTATATTAGAGATCGATGATGCCGACTCTAACTCTGTGAACACCTTAGTGAGATTTTGCCGAGAAAAAGGTATTCCTGAACAAGAAATAAATGAATTTAAGCGTAACTACCACCAGGAATCAGCAGTCTGGTGGTATACCAAAGAGATTTTTCTCTATGGTATGCTTAATCGTGGGTTAAGATCGCTTGATA